GTCTTAATTCCTATCTACCATAAATAAACGGACATGAGGATTTTACCTCCTTTTTTTATTACAAATAAACTCATTCATATTTTTCGACACGTATAAAATTAGGAAAATTATGTATGTACATACATATGCAGGGTGGACAAAATATAGCATGAGTTGATACAAAATAACGTATTTTGTCCATCTTGTATATATGTATATGAAAAAGTATACATGTGCTATAATCTATATTATTATAATATTTTTTTATTATATAATTATTATAATAATTATCATATAATAAAATTTTTATAATTATATAACGTGTATAAATTCGTACGGGACCGCGTCAGCCTCGATCGACCAATGCGATTACATCGCCCGCGACGCACGATATCCAATGAGCGTGCTGCGACGAGTGCAAGGTTATGTTCGTTGGATATTGTGTGTCGCGCGCAATTGACGTGATCGTGCGTGATCATGCTTGGATGCCGAGGTCATATCACAGCATACTGCAGCCGTGTTTCGTGTCTGGCATCACTGCTGGGAGTGCTGAGTCGTGCTATTTAATAAAGTCAGCAATCAATTATCGAAAATGAGTGAAAGTCCACCGGTAAGTTTTTCATAGTGTTATTTCTCATTTATCTGTTTTTAACTTCAAGAATTCTCGTTTTCTACATATATATTTGTACTATATCGTCGTTTGATGTTATCATAATATCAATATTTGGTTATTATTGGTTATTATAATGTCAAAATGACATCAGATGATCGATAGCTTTCTACTTGTTTTGTGTTCTTAAAGAGTTTATAGACAATTATGATTACTTCATAAATAATAACTTATGAAATATAATTTTCATATAGTTCATAATTTGTTAATAAATATTTGTTCAAGTTTATTTAATTGGAAACGTTGTGTGCTCTCATATGCTTTACTTTATAACCTTATTATGCAGGTTAAATGTTATCGATCATCAATAATTCCACTATTCTTATACTTCTTGCTTTTGCCATTATTTATTTATGATTTGCGTACTATCGAGATTTTTATATTCTTGTAAATGCAACATAAGCAGCATACATATATTAATGTTATTATACATTAATTGTTTTTATGTAATAAATATTTATTTTATATATTGTTCTTACATGCGAAGTATCGTAGAAATGCGCAGAAGAAATTTATCAAGGATTTAATTCGCCAAAGTAAGAATGAAGCAAATCTGGCTGATTTAAGAAGACGAATAACCGCGGTCTACGAAGCAGAAACTTCGTCCGATGATAATGAAGAAATTCATATGCCTATTCCAGAGATCAACAATGAAGATATTCCTTCAGAAACAAATAGGTCTGAATTATCAGGAATATTATCAGCAGGATCTGAGGCATCTAATGATAGTTTTTTTGAAAATGAAAACACTATAAATGGTAGTGATGTTGATAGTGAATTACATTTCGAAGATGAGAACAGCGACAGTGATGGAATTGCTGAAATGGATGATGTTAATAACAGATGTAGTGATCATGAAGATAATGACTTAATGAATCAATTTGAAAATGATGAAGACAGAAGTTTTTATGCTTTAGCAACATTGAGAGAGTGGGCTCTTGAAGGAGGTGTGTTATCCATGAAGAAGTTGAATAATTTACTCCTTAGATTGAGGGTATTGTTTCCTAATTTACCCAAAAGTTACAAAACCTTACTCCAAACGCCTCCAACCTTAGGTGTTCAACAGCTACCTGATGGATCACAACTGTGGTACAAGGGTATAAAAGCAAACCTTGATAATATGCTTCTTACTGAATATTTAAATGTTCACAATTCAGTTATTATTGATGTCAATATGGATGGCCTTCCATTATCTAAAAGCTCTAAATTAAAATTTTGGCCAATTTTAGGTTATTTAATAAATACAGAAAATGAGCCGTTTATTATTTGTTTGTATTTTGGTGATCATGATCCTGCTGATACGCATTCTTATCTGCACGAATTCGTCAATGAATTAGAGGATTTATTGGAAAATGGTTATGTTCGGGATGGCTTCGCATATCCATTTATAATAAGAAATTATATTCTTGATGCACCAGCTCGCTCATTGGTGAAATGTTGTGTTAGTCATGGAGGTTACGGAGCTTGTGAAAAGTGTACCTGTGTTGGTGAATATGTTGCTGATCGTGTAGTCTACACGAATCTGAATGCTCCATTGCGAACTGATCACTCGTTCATCACTCAGGAAGATCCACTTCATCATATAGGCCGTTCTATTCTAGAGAGAGTACATACAGGAATGGTTTCCCAATTTAGATTAGATCCATTTCATTTAGTCTGGCATGGAGTCTTTAAACGATTATTGATGACATGGATGCAATGGAATGGACCATGGAAACTTAGCAAGTTCTCCAGAAAAAATATTTCTGACAATTTAATTTTTTTAAAGGATTTCTGTCCAAGTGATTTTTGCAGACCACCGAGATCAATTAACGACTGGAAGATGTACAAAGGTACAGAAGAGAGGAGATTATGTCTTTATGATGAACTCCTAGTATTTCGTGATGAATTGCAGAAAAACGTTTACAAAAACTATCTCTTACTTCAGACTGCTCTGTATATCCTCTCCAGCCCTTTGCATGTCAATGTACTTAATGACTTTGCTAATGAATTACTCAGAACTTTCATTCAGCATTGTATCAATTTATATGGGAGACGTTTTGTGGTGTATAATGTTCACTCACTCTGTCATTTGGCTCAAGAATGTGCAGAACACGGACCTCTGGAGAATTTCAGCTCTTTTATATTTGAAAATCGTTTAAAATCACTCAAAAGTAGCCTAAAATCTGGATATAAACCACTACAACAAGCTGCACGACGAGATTTAGAGCACACCAGAACAGTAAAAATTAAATTGAAAACTAAAGAAAAGACTGTTCAACTTTCTTACAGACATGACGATGCAGAAGAACAATTACCAGGGACATATTTTCACTGTCTTTCTATTGATAGTGTAATTTTCCGGACTGGTATAAAGGACTCTTGCTTCTGCACAAGAGATAAAAATGTTTATATTTTGAGGAACACTGTAGAGCAAGAGAGAAGAGTGATACTTGTTTGTAACAAGTTTCAAAAAATAGACAATTTCTATACATATCCTTTGCCATCATCTCGATTAGGCATTGTTACAGTCTCAGAAATAGATGACGAAAGGCTTGTCGTGCCATTGCAGAACGTTCATGCTAAGTGTTGGTTGATGCCTTCCAAAGATAATTCTTTTTTATGTGTTCCGCTTCTTCACACAATGCCATTGTTTCAATAATATTTAACATTTTTTTAGCTAGGGTATGTTTAACATTTAAAACATGAAAATTTTACAATTAAAAACATTGTCATTGCTCAAAAAGTACAATTTATGGTATGAAAAAACATGATTATTAAATTTTATTTTTTACCTTTTTATTTTGCAGTTTGTGGTCGTGAAGTTCTTATCTGCCGATAATGATGAAGATGAATATTACGAGGTAGCTCTCTCAAAGTGGCTTCAAGATTTAGATGAAAATTTGATCGGGAGCATACTCTGGCCAGGAGATAATTCTACAGCAGGGACGTTAGTTCGAACTCAAGTGAATGCGCAATCAAATTGGTCCATTTATGCAGTGGAAGTTAAAAGATATTATGGTAAGCAATTTTTCTTTGTATTCTTTTTACTTAAATCTTAGTAATAATATTTCTCTGCTACAGATACATATTTTCATGCACGAAAAGGATTGGCAGGAATAATAGAATATGCCTCAGCCTATGAGACTGATACTGGAAAAGAAATGGGAAGAGGAAAAAGAAAGAAGAAAAAAAACCCAAACTCATCTTCATCAGAGTCTGATAATGACCAGCACTTAGAAAATCAAGTTAAGAAAAAAAAGCCAAGCATTCCATCACCACCAGCAATCCATGTTCCTGAAGCTTCTACCTCAGTCGATAAGATTTCTAGTCATAAGGGCAAAAGAAACATTATTGAAGATTCCTCAAACATCAAAGAATCGAAAGTTGCAAGACATCTAGGTAAACCTATATCATCAGAAAATAATCGTCAGAAATTGATTGATAGGATCATCAGTGAAAGGAAGAAGACTATGGAGAAAGCTGAGGAGAAAAAGAATGCTATGCTACGCAGTGTATCTTCAAAAGTTCTACAATCATCATCACAAAACCAATCTAAACTCAGCACCTCTTTTTCTAAACATTTTGTGAAGAGTTCTCCAAAGAAGATTCTATCCAAACCAAAGACCAGAGAAAAGGTTAAAAGCTCTAAAAACTCTACACCTTCTGAAGTTTCTCTACAAGCTTCATCATGTGCTTCGGAAAATCAGTTTACACCTGAAAAAGAAACATCTATTGTGAGCCCTTCAAAAGTGTACAATAGGAAATCTGACGATTCACCTAGAAGTCCACAAAAATCTCCTTCTTCCTCATCAGAGAAAGTTGATACTTCGCTATCCGCACAGGAAAAGCATAGCCCACTTTCCTCCAAAAAAAAGTTAGATCCACTTGTTCGTAATTTGTCAAATTTTTTTAGTGCAACAGGTACGTTAAGTATTTTTTTTGCATATACACACAAACGCGCGCGCGCATACACATGCACACGCACACGCACGCACACAAGTTGTAATAATTTATGTCATTTTATGTTCACATATTTTCAAATTTTAACGAACGTTTTATAAAATTAGAAAAAACATTAGAAGGCATTAGTAGTAAGCTTGAGGTTGTTATTATGAACCAAACAAACTTAAATAGAAGTCTGCTTCCGGAACAGGCTGTCATCAATAGACCCTCAAATCTACCCTCTCTGCCTCTGAGGGACATAAAAGGCCTCGAAGAATTTGAGAAATTTTTATCCAACGATGTAAATCTTTCAGCAGCAGTAAGTAATATTTTATTATGCTTATACAACTTGATACATTTTTATTATTTTATAGCTGGATTCTGGATATTCACTGCCAGTACTGAATCTATAGTTTACGTCACATACACTA